GGCTTCATTTGCCTTTGCCAAAACAACAAATCTACATGGCTCCGTCGATGGAGCCATGTAGTTTAGACGTACCCTAGCTGCGCCCCCCCCCAGCAGACCAGGGAGACGCGAAGCAAAGCGGCGGAGGACCCAGGCCGGACCCGCGGCGCTTCCAGATCAGCGCCGTGGGTCCGGCCCGGGTCCTCCGCCGCTTTGCTCCCCGTCTCCCTGGTCTGCTGGCTCCCCCAGCGTCCCGCTGCTCCAGTCCTCCTGGGCGAGAAAATCCCCATTCGTAACTGCGGATCCGACATAAGTCGGATCCGTGTAACTCAGGGACTGCCTGTACTTAAACAACATTTTGCTATTACTCTTTGAGTTTTTGGCTAGCTGTTCTTCAAATTCCCTTCTGGCTTTTCTTGTCATATTTTCACACTTCATTTGACAGAGTTTATGTTCCTTTCTATTTTCCTCACTAGGACTTGACTTCCACTTTTTAAAAGACACCTTTTTCTCTCTCATTGCTTCTTTTATTTGGTTGTTAAGTCATGGTGGCATTTTTTGGTTCTTTTACTGTATTTTTTAATTTGGGGTATACATTTAAGTTGGGCCTCAATTATGGTATTCCCAGAAAATTAACTTATTGCCTCAGCATGGGGAATGTACAACAAATTCAACCCATCTATGCTAGAGTGAAAAACAAAAAGTCACAGGACAAAAATTCCCTAGGGCACCACTTTCCCCTGGCAGCATCACTAAGTCAGTACCCGTCTAAGCTCTGCAGGCGGATCACTGCCGACACGTCACCATTCCGCGGGTACCTGCGTTCCCGTGCCACGAACAAACATCCCGATTTCTGACAAGTCCAATCTGAATTAAAGAGCCCAGCGCTGAACAACACTCTCCCTCCCCTGCCCCTGCTTAGGGTAGCCCGCAACTCGGCTCCCAGGGACTCACCACAAACGCAGCTTCACGGGTATTTCGTGCAGCAGGGGCGGGCAAGTAACACGATGATGCCGCAGCCCCTCTGCCCAGGCTCTGCCTCAAGTTGGCCCGTCATTGAGCGGACCCTCCCAGAACAGCTCGCCCCAGAGAAGGGGGCCACGCACCCGCCAAGGCCTGGGCAGACGGAAGGCAGGTTGGGCTTGTTACACCGCCCATCGCACCCCGCCCGCAGCGAGACAGGACTCCCCACCAGCCCCTCGCTCGCTCACCCCCGGCGCTCCGCCCTTGCTGGGGCCCGCACTGCTTGCACGCCAGGCTGGAGATATCGAAGTAACGGCCATCGCCGCAGTCCTGGGGCTGGCGCAGCGGCAGGGAGAGGCCCTGCCCAGCCGAGTTGGGCTTGTTACACCGCCCATCGCACCCCGCCCGCAGCGAGACAGGACTCCCCACCAGCCCCTCGCTCGCTCACCCCCGGCGCTCCGCCCTTGCTGGGGCCCGCACTGCTTGCACGCCAGGCTGGAGATATCGAAGTAACGGCCATCGCCGCAGTCCTGGGGCTGGCGCAGCGGCAGGGAGAGGCCCTGCCCAGCCGAGGGCCGCGG